TGTTCGGTGAAGTCTTTGGGATAAACCGGTTTAAAATTCCTGGCGGTCTGTCGTTAGTTGTACATTTGCACACAAGGTTGACTTTTATTCAGATGTTTGCATGGTAATAAAAAATGAGGTACTATTTTGACCTCAGTTAATCAGAATTTCGATAATCACCTGCAATCGAAAGTCAATCTTAATTAAGAGGTTGACATTTGAGCTTTCGGTCACGTGGTTCGTTGCATGCACTCGGTTCGGTTATTGGTGGGTTTCAGTAAGTGTTACAATCCAGACGATGGTCAACATCAGAAATGTTGACACTTCCTGGAGCAATTCAATTGCTTCAAATACAAGGCTACTACATAAAGTAAAAAACAGTGAACATTATTTTTTTCACTCTAGTAACTCGTAGTGAGACCCACTAGCTTAACTTGCGGTCTGTTCGTGCCAATGTTCTTCTCTTTGTGTAAATGTACTGCTTAGGTGTCTCCCGTGTCTGCAGCGCGCAGTTAGAATCCAGAATATAGGCAGACAAGTAAAACCTTGCCAGACTTTAAATTTTTGTTTATATCGATATGTTATGTTCATAAATGTATAGAAATCTCATGAAATGCGTTAGGCTTAGGTTTGGGGTTAAATCTAACCCTATAACCTTAACCTTAATCTATTACATGATCTGTATATTTGTGTACGTAATATATGGGTATAGCCAAAATTTTGTTGAAAAGCTGGCATAGTTTTCCTTCGGTAGGATAACTAAACTGGGTACAAATTGTATCCATAGCTCAGAGGGTGCAAATGGTACCCGTAAGAAGATTGGTGGATATCGTGGACAGTTTGACACAAAGATCAGTTTAGGACTGTAATGACACAATTATTGTAATAATAAATACTGTAGTCTAGGCCTTCATCGCCCGTGGTGCATGTTTATCACTGGTTTCGAACGTTAGTTTTCTGCCCCGAGTTATATGAAAACAGTTCGCTACCAGAGATTAGGTCCCCCCTCTGTTATGGTGGCTCAACGACTAAGTGGAAGACAATTAACATAAGGCATGCCAACCTTGCTCCTGTTTGTGGAAGCTCACCAGGTGCGATGGCACACTAGGTTAGGTTAAGCTAAGGGCATGACGGAGACTCCACATTCGGGGGTATTCCCTTGCAGGTTTTTGAAAGGTTGTATGCGCGTGCGCACTAGTTATGAAAGGTTAGGCAGCTAGAAATAGGGGGCTTTTGCTTATTTCTGCATGCATACTATAAGACTATAATTGATTATCGTCATGCTTTTGCGCCAGTAACTTTCTGTAAAGTATTTAACACAACAGGAAAATGGAATCTGTTTTTCTGCTGAAAAATACTTATAGAACCAATTCAAAGTGGAAAAAAATATTGCGAAAAAAAGAGAGAAATAAAAAAGAAAACCCGCGAAGCCACTTTGAATATAAGCAACAATAGTCCAAGAATACTCGTTGCAGAAAAAAACAACAAAAAAGAAAGCATTTTCTGCCTAAAATATCTTGGATTAGGGGCTTAACGATAAGAAACGTAGTTCTCGCTCCAAGGTGGAGAATATATAGGCTCGTTTCTTTAGGTTGCTAATGCATTGCGCGCGCTTTATAAATTGTACTATAAATTTTAAGTTGAAAAGACCGCCAGGAAAAATAGGGTGTTTTCATGTGTTGCTTTGTTGACGGACAAGTTTTCAAAATAATGGTTTTCTTGTTTCCTTGTATATATTTCGGCACTTTAACTTGTTCCCAAACATAACCGCCTTGAAAACACTCTGCTGGTAGATCAAGTTTATATATGGTCGCAATAGCAACTAGAATGTTTGCCATGTTGCATTCCGTGTTGTCTTGCACTGTCCATACATAAGCTTGGTCGAACCGTGGATCATAAAAACACCACGATCGAACGCACCTAATTAACATAAGCGGCGCGCGCGTGCTGCTGCAATGCGGAGTACAGTCAGTCGGTGTACTCCATGTGCAAATAGTGAAGTGTGCTCAATATATAGTCTTGAAACAAAGTTTCATGCGCAAAGTTTCATGCTTATTAAAATTCCACGCGCTAAGTTGCATGCTTGATAAAATTAAGGGCATGAAAATCAGTGCATGAAAATCGGTGCATGCCATATTTGAGTGCGCGCGTTGCAATTTTCTTGCGCGCGATATATAGCAAAATGCGCCAAAATATAAAAATCTAAGTATTATTATTATTATTATTATTTAAGCTTATTTATTCACGGTAGCCTTTCAGAAGCCTGTTTTTCAAAGGGCCGTGCACACTTACTATAAACTATTATAAGAATATTAAAATTATTAACTAAAAAAAAAACAAACAATCATGCATAATATACTCTATTTACATCGGCAAGGCATAATGCCATATGGTTTGGCAGGATGACCTCCCAATTCAAAAACACAAGCCATCTATTAATTTTTTAAAGGAACAGATGGAAGTTTCAGGTATTTCCGTAATTGGAAGTTTTTCCATTAACATTTGGTTCCATGAAACTGCTCCTCTATAGGAGAAGCTTCGTTTTAAAAAATTCGTCTTAGGTTTTGGTAGGTAAAGCTTTTGATGATTATTTCGTAGTTGGTAGGTTTGGTTAACGGAGACATGAAACATCTGTGTTAAGTATTCTGGAGCCATACCCCTAAGTGCTTTAAATGTCATCACTAATTCTCTCTTTTTTAGTATTGATTGTATTTTTGTCCATTTGAGCATTTGAAAAATTTCAGAAGATCGTTCTTCTAAGCCCGAACTGGTAATGATCCGTGTTGCACGCTTTTGCAATTTCAGCATTTTTTCGGCGTGCATTTTATTACCATCATACCATATAGTTGAACAATAGTTGAAATAGGGGAGTACAAATGACTTATACATCATCTGTAGTGTTGCTTGAGGTACGTAAGGCTTCACTTTTCGTAACATAGCTATAGAACACGAAATCTTTTTAGTTTGTTTTTCAACATGTTTTGTCCATTGTAATTTATCGTCTATTTCTAAGCCTAAGACCTTTTTCTTGTAAACCCGTTTAATTATATGATCTCTAATTTTAATAATAGGGTCATTTCTGATCTGTTTTAAGCGCTTTCCTGAGCCAATTAGCATATACTCGGTTTTTTCTTCATTTAATGTTAATTTGTTTGCATCTAACCAAGTCTTAACGTTTTGGATTTCCACCCCCAATTTGTATTCAATTTCAAAAGAAGACTCCCCAGTTGCAGTTAAGCTTGTATCATCAGCAAACATGGCGGGTTCAGTTATTTCTAAACTATTTGGCAGATCATTTATATAAATTGCAAACAGAAGTGGCCCAAGGTTAGATCCTTGTGGGATGCCGCATGTAATATTTTGGAAGGTTGATAGCGAGTTATTTACTTTGCAAATTTGTTTCCTGTTACTAAGATATGATTGAAACCATGACAGTGCTAATCCACGAATTCCATAACATCCCAATTTGGATAAAAGAATCTTGTGGTTTACCGTGTCAAAGGCCTTTTTAAGGTCTAAAAATAGGACACCATTAATCAAACCAGCGTCCATGTTTGCTAACCAGCTATTAGTTACATGTAGTAATGATGTTTCAGTTGAATGATTTACACGAAATCCAGACTGAAATTTGGAAATTATTTGGTGGTGTTCCAAATATTTCATTAATTGTTCATGTACAACTTTCTCAAATACTTTGGGAACTATAGAAATGACAGAAATCGGCCTATAATTACCGCATAGGGTTTTTTCTTCTGATTTGTGGATAGGTGTTACTTTAGCAATTTTCAGTCATCTGGAAAAATTCCAGTCTTAAGAGATTGGTTAAATATATACGTTAGTGGCACAACGATTGCACCCCCAGCGGCCTGCAATAGTTTCACAGAAATTTTGTCATAGCCCGATGATTTAGCAGTTTTCATTTGCTTAATTTCCTCCCTAACTTTATCATGGGATATAGTTTGAAAATCGAAGTTGTGTGGTGTAGATGTTACGAAAGACAGTGGATCGACATCACTTGCGTCTATATTTTCAGCTAAACGTGTACCTATGCGCGAGAAGAAGCTGTTAAATTCTTCTGCAATATTCTCATCTCCTACTATTTTTCATTCGTCAACAACCAATTCATTAATTATATAGTAGTTTTTGATGCATTGTTTAGCAATTCATTTATCAATTTCCAATTCTCTTTGTGGTCCTTGCATGCATTTAGTTTACTTTTATAATAATTGCTTTTGGTTTCCTTGATTGTTTTATTCAAATTGTTCCTACATTGTTTATACTCATTAAAATAATAGATTGAGTTATGCGTGACCGCTTTCTTTTTTAGGAAATCTCTGCGGTGACCAAGGTACTTAATCTCCGTAGTTATCCAAGGGTTATAAGTGCTTCTAACTTTCCTTTGTCTTAGAGGTGCATGCTTATTAGCTAAAGATAGAAATATAGTTTTCCATACATTCCAAATCTCATTTGGGTCATCAAGATGATAAACATCATTAGCAGCAAAAGCTTGATTTAAGTCATTTTCAAATGCTCGACTGTTAAAATGTTTAAATTGCCTAGTTTCAACAATTTTTGGTTTTTCCCTTTGGGTACTAATTTTGCGACAAGTATACACCAGACTATGGTCGCTAATTCCAAGGTGTATGACTCCAGAAGCAGTAACATTCGTATTTCCCAATTGAGTTATAATAACATCTATCAATGTTCTTGTTTTAGCTGTTACACGTGTAGGTTTCTTAATGAGTTGTTTTAACTGATAAACATCCAATAATTCAATTAATTTTTTTGTACTTGAACTTGCCGTATTTGTATACAAATCGCAATTCAAATCGCCTAGAATAATCAATTCCTTATGTTCTGCCTCAGCCTTTTGCAGAAATTCTTCAAACAAATCGAATACTTTTGCATTCGAATCAGGAGGTCGATACCAAGTCAAAATCAAAATTGGCCGACTCATACGTAGCGTTAATTCAATACAGATTGCTTCAAGATCTTTTGGAATTAGATCGTCTCGTAGAGTGTACGAATAGTTATTCTTGACAAGAAAAGCAACCCCTCCGCCTCTTCTATTCCTATCTCGTCTAATTATCTCATAACCTGGAATCTGAACCATGTTATTTTGAATTGTCTCATCTAATCTCGTTTCATTTAAACTTAATATTTCAAATGGTAGTTGTTGGAGAAATAATTTTAATTCGTCTAAATGTTTTGGAAGGCTAGTTATATTCACATGGGCAAATTTTAATCCCTTTAGTTTCGGATAAATAACTTTATTATTATTTTGCTTTGGTAAATTGGAACTGTTGATAGGCGGTGGTTTGCAATTCGTCAAGTCCAGTCAATAGTTATCTATATTGTTAGTTATATGCAATTTGATATTTTTTGCTAATATAGCAGAGCCACGTTTGTTTAAGTGTAGTCCATACGGATTCAAATGCATATTACTGATATTACTGTTGTCAATAAGACCCCAGTTCTCTTGTTCGCAAAGATCTTGTATGCATTTGTTGACTTCAACTAATTTATTTTGTAATCTTGTGTCATCACTTCTAATTATTATCTGTGAGAGTGAGACACCAGTGCGGGGGTTTTCTTGTTTTGCCTGATTGCCCAGGTTTTTTAAGTTGTAAATAATTTCAGCCGGTGATTTCGTTTTGAGATCATTCGTCCCAACATGAATAATAACTTGCTTCGGTTTTAAAGCAAGTGTCGGCTTTATATAGTGAGCCATTTCGTCGGTTCTACACCCAGAAAAAGTACGAACAGTTACCTGTTTGTTTGTGCCATGACGAAGTTTTCGGACATCAACATGCTTAATCATGGAGTCACCCACCAAAGCTACATCACATTGTTGTTTCTTCGGTTGGATAGTATCACGTTGGTTGCTGGTTGGTAAGGAATTTTGCTTTGTGTCTTGGATATTTCTTGGGGTGTTTTTCAATCGTCTTTTCTTTTCGTGGTCTATAGTTGGAGTCTTCTTGGGAACTAAGGTTTGATTATTTCCAGCGTCACCGCTCATTACTGCCTCATCGTCGTCTTCAATTTGCAAGGTAGAGTACTTATTGCTCAAATTTATATGGTGACCAGCACTTTGACTTATGGTTTTGCGGCCAGCTATTTGCCATGAGCTCCGTGTTTGTTGCGCTTGACTAGATTCATCCTTATTTGAACACATTACAGTGGCTTGCTCTTCATTCAGCAACCTAATAACAGTTAAGAGGCTTGATTTCTCACTTTCAGTATCCGTCAGCTTTGTATTTAGTTCGGTTAAAGTATCTTTATATTTTGTTAGCTCTGTTTGAAGAGCCTTGTTTTCTTCTTTCAATAATCTATTTTCTTTAGTAAGATTTTCAGTTGCCGTCGGACTTTTTTGATTCTCATATATATTAACAAGTTCGTTTAGAACAACAGACGTCTCAGTTCGGTGGTTTTCGAATTGGCGCGTTAATGAATCCAA